TCATTAACAACTTGCAATATGCAGATGATACAACCTTGCTTGCTGAAAGTGAAGAGGACTTAAAACATTTACTGATGAAGATCAAAGAGCACAGCCTATGATACTTTTTACATCTCAACGTAAAGAAAACAAAACCCCTCCCACTGGACCAATAATCAACATTCTTATTCAAGGAAAAAAGATTGAAGTTGTCAAGGACTTCATTCTTCGTGAATCAACTATCAACACTCATGGAAGAAGGAGTCAAGAGATCAGACGACGTATGGTATTAGGCAAATCTACTGCACAAGAACTTTTTAAAGTGTTGAAGAGGATTAAGTTGCGCCTGACTCAAGCCATGGTATTTTCAATAACTTCATCTGCATGCAAAAGCCGGTCAGTGAATTTGGAAGACCGTAGAAGAATTGATGCCTTTGAATTATGGTGTTTGAGGAGAATACTGAAAGTGCCATGGGCTGTCAAAAGAACCAATAGATCTGTTTTGGAGAAGCGCAGCCAGAATGCTCTTTGGAGGCAAAGATGGCCAAACTTCGACTCTCATACTTTGGACATATTTTCAGGAGGGAACAGTTGCTGGAGAAGAAAGAATATCATGATTGGTAGGGTGGAGGGTCAGAGAAAAAGAAGAAGACCCCCAACGAGACTGATTGGCCAGGTGGCAGCATCGATGGACTCAAGTGTGGCAATAGCAGTGAGGTTGGTTCCGGATCAGACATTGTTTCATTCTGCTGTGCTTAAGGTCGCTATGAGTCGGTGTCGACTCAATGGCACTTAAAAACAACAAGTGTTAAAAAATCAGACAGGATCAACTTAAATTTAGAGAAAGGGTGGGAGAGAAATTAAGAAGAATGCCAAGGTGTTTTGCCTGAGTAATAAGGGAGTGAGAGAGGCAGGTATCATTTACTGAAATGGGAGGATGAAGAAGCAGGACCAGGTGTGTGTGAAGTAGAAGCATGATATCTGGGATATAGTTTTAGATACATTAAGAAAAGATGATCGTTAGGAAGCCAAGTTGAAATGCTGAGTGGACAACTGAACACAAGGGTCTATAAATTAGAGGTTCATGCTGAAGATATAAATTTAGGAGTCCTTCCATGTTAAGAAAATGTTTTCAACAGAGTAGTCAGGAACTGACGGAAGTGCATTCAACAAATAAAGAAAAAACAGAAATGAATAGTGGGTGATGTGTTGAATGTGAACGGCAAGGTCAGCAGTTCAAGAACACCAGTTGCTTCGAGGGAGAAAGAGGCTTTCTGCACCAGTAAATATTTATAGCCTCAGAAACCTTACACAGGGTCACTATAACTCTGAACTGGCTACATGGACAAAGCAACAACAGCAATAGAAGAGTAAGTCAAAAAGTATTGCTACATAATCACAAACAACTTTATTAAGCAAAAATAACAAAACGTAAAGCTATTTTTAAAAAACATTTCCTCCATTTAGGTCTATACTCTTCTAAAGGCAGTAAACCATCCATCACTCTAACCATTACTGAACAAACTCTGCTTTTTGATTTATACCATGGCAAACGGCAGTTTGGGCATCCTCAAGGGAATCATATTCTTTTAAGCACTCATTTTAAACAATGTTTGAGTTTGGAGAACAAAGTCTAAAGGGCTAAGATTAGGGCTATAGAATGGACAGAATAAGGTTTCCTCATAAAATTCTCATATGGCAACCCTTTGTTGACTGGGTTGAGTTGTGGCTGAAGGTTATCAACATAAGTTTCTATTTGTTTTAAAATAAAATAATAATAGCATATTTGTATGGTTATCAGAAATGACCCAAAAAGGAGTAAAAAATAGAAGCTATAAGACAAGACTATGGTTAAAGTAGTATCCTTGAGTAGAACGGTATGGGATCTGGCATACAAGTAGACAGACTGGCCTTATTTAGGGGCAGAGACATTTCGTAACATCTTAAGAGGAAAAGAAAATTACATGGGTGACAAAACAGGTAGCGTGGTAGAGGTTATGGCAGTGTGTGAAAGCTCTCTTCATTAAGAACTTAAACTTCCTTGATGAAACAAAAAGCAGATCATCAGGTTAGATGAAGGTCAGAACACTGGCTTTGGAGCCAAACTGCCTGGGTTTGAAACTCAGATTTATCGCTTACTACTTGTGCAGCCTTCTCTAAGTTATCCAACTTCTCAATGCATCAGCTATCTCATTGAGTTTGTAAGATGGCTGTATCAAATGAGGTAACAGTAAAGCAACTCAAAACAAGATCTGACAGTAAAAGTATTCAATGAGGGTTAGCTATTACTATCAACCATGAGGAGGAAGATGTTTGAAACTTCAGGAGCACAGGAATGAGATCGTTTGAAGCAAAGTGATGAAGTCAACAAACCAGGAATATACAGCCAAAATATAAGGGCTTACTCGAGGTTAATGATCATGAATTTAAATACCAATCAGCAAGGTTCAAATATAAAGGAGGCTTTGAATTGGCTTTGGCATTTTCTGAGCAAGTACAACAGAAGGAGAAGAGGGATGAATGGAGTAACTATAATGAATTATGAAATCCAAATTGAGTAAGGAACAGAGGACATGAAGGAAATGAAGGCTCTGGGGAAGAGGAAGTGGTGTTAATGGACAATTGTTGTTGTTAAGTGCCATCGTGTCAGTTCTGACCCATAGCCACCCTGTATAGGGTTTCTGAGAAGCAGCTGTTAAGTTTGAACCACCGACCTTGCAGTTCAAACGGCTTTGCAGTCTGGTGCATTAACCCACAGTGCCACACCATGGACTATAGTTTATGGAAAAAGACAAAATACGCTGGAATTAGATTTCTAGAGGAAAGGCTGGAATCATAGGGTGTCTGGAAATTGAGATGCTTTTAGAACATGACCTGGTTAGAACTAAAAAGCCAGGATACTTACTGGTGGGCTTTCTACCAGAATTCTGAAATCATGAAGAGTAAAGATATTCTACATCCTACTTTGGTGAGTAGACTCTAGGGTCTTAAAGAGCTCATTAGAAGCCATCTAAGATACAGTTATTGGTCTCTCCATGTGCAGAAGAAAGAAGAGTGATGAGAACTGAAGACGCCTAAAATCAATTAGTCCAACAGATTAATGGAACATGTGAGTATCAGTATCCATGACACTGAGATGTGAAGAACTAGATAGTGCCCAGCTACCACTATCAACAACTCTGAAAGGGACCACATTAGAAAGTCCAGGATAGAGTGGGAGAAAATGTGTAACAAAACTCAAAATTATAAAAACAAAAAGACCAGGCTTACTGGGCATGAAGAGATTGGAGGAACCCAAGACTGTAGTAGCCCTCCACCACCCTTCAAGTCTAGCATGGAACTCACACTCCTGGTCCAATTTAAAGTCAAGCAGTAGCTAGGTATACAGGAGGAACAACAACAATAGTAAGGTATGCTCACTATGGAATGATCGAGCAATCATTCAAAATTAAAAGGGCAGCATTTACGTAAGGACAAAGTTGAGAAGGGTCGGGAAGGTGGTGAAATATGAACTACAAGAAGTGGAATAATCTGATGTTGTATGGAAGGGATTTTACTCACTGAGATGAAATAAAATGTATGATTTGTTGAATGTAAGACTGATGATTTTTATCTGTAAACCTCCACTCCATTCATACATACACAAGAGTAGGATAGTAAGACAGTAGTAGTTTTGAAAATGACAACATGAGCTCAATGCAAGTGTAAGTGTGAGTCTGAAAAGATGAACTTCAAGCTAATTTGATGCTGGTTTCCTTTTTATTTGTTTTTAAGGAAGAAAGGAGAAATAAGTCTGAAAGAAGAAATACGAAGCAAGGAGGTTCACTATGCCCCTAAGAGGGGCAGAGTCCTACAACAGAAAATACAACTTGAGAGGGTTGTAATAAAAGCAGTGTCAGAGAGAAATAGGTTTCAGCAAGGTAACAAAGTAAGGGAATGTTTGTTTGAAAAGGAGATGTGATAATGAAAGGCACTGAATCAAAACACAGGAGAGTTCAGGGAGCTGGAGGAAAGTAAAAGAGGATTCAAATTAGGGAATGATCCAAAATATAGGTATATGGTAATTCCTATTAGTTCTAGGATTCTTTTAAACAATGGTAAAGTAATACTTTCCTGCCTAGATTTGATTGCTGTATGAGGTATACTGGATTAAAGAGGCATGGTGGGATTTGTTTTTGAGGCAGACGGTAGTAAAGCTAGGAGTAATGGGATGAAATAGTGAGGTTTTTCCCAGAGGAATGCAGAGATCGGAGGCCCTGTTTTCACTGCTAATTAAGGATGCTGTAGGACTCCTGGTGGTACAGTGGGTTAAGCACTGGGGTGCTAACTGCAAGGTCAGCAGTTAAAATCCACTTGCAGTTCCTCAAGTGAAAGATCAGGCTTTTTGGCCCCATAAAGATTTAGTCTTAGAGAGCCTATGGAGAGTTCTACTCTGTCCAGTAAGATTACCATAAGTCAGAATCAATTTGATGGTAGTAGTTTTAGAGGAGGCTGAGGGCGAATAATGACACTGAAGCACACAAAGGATTCTGGAATCAGGCACTTTACTGTGCCTTCTATCTGGGCCTGCACTAAGAGGAAGAAGCAACTGAAGTGGTTCCCTTAGATATAAAACAAGGGACTATAAAGAAACTCAGTAATCAATATATTTCAATAAAATATATTTTTTCATAACTCAATGTCGAAAATTCTTAACAATTAAATTATTAAATTTTTCAGTAAGGGCAGGGTCATAAACAGTTGAGAATTCAGCCCTAACACTACATTTACCTCAACTTCCACTAGCAAATTGGTACAACATAATACAAATTTATCAACAGATTTATAAAAGAAAAGAAAATCTGCCTTTTAATGGTGTCTTTTCATTGAATTTGTTATAAACAAGACTCACCTGCTTTCTTCCTCACATTTACTTTTGCTTTGTTACTAATATGTTTTGATGTGATGACTCTCTTGGTTTTTTTCGCAGTTGATGTTTTGAATTCCACCGGAGAAAAGTGGATTCTTTTGATATCTTGAACTTCAGTATGTTCTATAACAGCACCTCTCACATTTGCATTTTCTGTATTTCCAGCACTCTTTCTTTTACGAGTCACTAAAGCTGTCGTTGAGGAAGATGGAGCTAATTCGTTTTTGTGATTTTCACACTTATTTATAATTGGATCTATAATTGGAAGGTATGAACTAAAAGAGTCTTTCTCTTTCTGAGCATCTACCATGACTTCTTTAAGTTCACCTACTACACTGTCAAGACAGCGTTTTGCCTTTGGTGTATTACTTTCCGTCTGTTTTCCTCTAGCACAGTGGGACTTCTTTTTAGTAACAGTGGTGGAAAGTATTGGACGTCCCTTAGCTTGTTTATTATATTTGCAACTATAGTCTTTAATAGCAGAAAATTTAGGATGATATTGTTTCGTAAATCTGTAGCAACTTGACTTCACTTCTGCAGCTCTGGGTTGTTCAAAAGTAGTTTGGGGAGACTTTGAATTCTGATATCCATGAGTACATGGCAAAACTTTATTTTCTATCCAAACTTGAGGTCTTGAGGCTTGAAAACTTTCATTCAATAATGGTGATAATTTATTACATGTTTGCTGAGATGTGCATATACATTTTACGTTATCTTTTACAAACTGATTTGGTGATAGAATGGGTTTAATTAACTCTGATTCTAGATCCTGATTTAGTCCATAATTATCATTTACAAAGGAATCTGGACTTAAAATAGTTTGATAAATTTCATGTACAGTTTTTGATTCCAAATGCATAGGCTTTGAATTTTCTTTCATAAATTTATCAGATGAAAGACATGTGATTACTTCCACTTTGTTATTAGCTATTTGGCTATTACGTATAAAGGAGTCTGGACTTAGAAAATTTCCATTGCTTTGTAAAGTTGAACAGTTTGGGATAAGAATAAGTCTATTATTTTCTTCACTTTGGCCATTAGTATTTTTTATGGAGTTGAAAGATGTTTCAGTTATGATTTGTTCATTAAAATTTACATCTTTTGAAATGGGGGAGCCTTCTACTTTCAACAATTCCACATTTTCAGATGCATGAAAAGATGAATAGGATTGACGTATAGAAAGTGACAAACAAGTCTCACTATAGCATTCTTTCAAAGAGGGGCTAATAGGTGATAAGGGTATTCTATTTTCTTCAAGGATTAAAGAATTATTCTCTGTTGGGGAACAGACTTCAGTCACAGCCAAATTTTCACAAGCTTGTAGTGGGCTCCTAACTATGTCAACTTTCTGTGAAACATTAAATGTTTTATTAACATTTTGACTACTTGAAGTCCTTTTGTTATGACTCGAAGAGGTTGAAACAGTCTTCTTATTAATGGTATCCCAAAGACTCCTCTGCAAAGAAAAGCAAAATATATGTAATAAGTGGATAGCTGCTGAATATTATCTCTAAATTAGCAATATAATGCATGTGATTCATTTTACGCTTGTTATCAAAATAATTTTGACAGTATTAAATGTTTTCTTAGAATAAATCATAGAATGAATAGGTGTCATTACCTTTTTCTTTTTCCGCTCTTCTGCGTTTCCTAGCAATATAGCTTGGTGTTTCAGAATATCATTTACAAGAAATATCACAATCTCTCTTACTCGGCCTTCTTTGAATGGTGTCCAGTTAATAGAAATCTCAATTTTTTCTTTAGGCTAGAATCCACAAAAAAAAAAAACCGTTTAAATGACTATGACAATAACAGTAGTACAACCACATGATATAAAACACAGAAAATAGTTATAGTTGTTGCTGTTAAATGCTGTCAAGTTGCTTCTGGCTCATAGTGACCCTGGATAGGGTTCCCGAGGAGCAGCTGGTGCGTTTGAACCACACACAGTCCAGTGCTTATCCGATTGGGCTACACAAAGGCTTCTAGAATTTAGTTGTGAAGTGCCGTCAAGTCGATTCCCACCCATAGCAACCCTGTATGTACAGGGATTCCGAGGAGCAGCTGGTGAGCTTGAACCACCAACCTTGCAGTTCAAACAGCTTTGCAGTCTGGCGCATTAACTCATAGCGCCACACCAGCAATTAGTAATGAAGTAATAATTGTCAATAATTAATTATCTACACCCTAATACCTCTTACCTCTTGGTGTTAAGTCCCACTGTATCAGTTCAAGTTCATAGTGACCTTAGCACAACAAACGAAACACTGCCTAGTCCTGGGCCATCTCAAAATTGTTTCTACACTTAAGCCCATTGCTGCTGCCACTGTGTCAATCCATCTTTTTTTTTTTTTTTGGGGGGGTGTTCCTTTTTTTGCTGATCTTCCCTCCACTTTACCAAATATGATATCCTTCTCCAGGGACTGTGCCATCCTGATAAAATGCCCAACGTATGAGACACGAAGTCTCACCATTCTGACTACTAAGCAACATTCTAATTGTACTTCTTCCAACACAAATCTGTTTGTTCTTTTGGCACTCAATCCATGGCACTTTCAATATCCTTCTCCAACACCATACCTAAAATATATCAATTCTTCTATGCTCCTCCTTATTCAGTGTCCCACTTTCACAGGCATATGAGGCTATTGACGATAGCACTTAACAATTCAAAGATATTTTTCTTACCATATACCCTCATTTCATTATAAGGGGAAATGCCACTATCAATAGTAAGATCCACAACAAAACCAAAAAGTATAGTAAAATTATAACATGGTTAGGTTCCAAACACTAAGTCATTATGCAAATATCAGCATGTAAGACTAGAGAATGGGGACTTCCGGTTGGGGAGTTAGCTGCCGAAACCAGGTAGGGTACATTCTGGGGAGAAGGGAGGGGGATCTCGCAAAGGTAGCGCTCATATCAAACTCCAGAGCTCAGGATCTACCATAAGCTCCAGGGCATCAGTTTCCCACATTCGCAAGTGAAAAAAAATCACAATATTAAGTAAAATATGGGTGACTTAGATTCTGGAGCCTGAACTGCCTCTACGACTACCCCACCCCTAAAGAGTTTAGAGAGTGGGGTTAAAGCCAGCCCGGCTCAGAAAGCAATGCTTTCGGCAAAAAGAAAAGAAAATGCCACAGGAAACTACCCATTTCTCCCTCTCTCTCCCCCGTTCCAACTTAGTATCTCAGCCTGGACATCAGGTGGGACAGCTTTCCCACTGTACAGAGAGAGGGAGCTTGGAGTGAACTTATAAAGTCACCGACGGACCCAAAATTTCCTTGACCGGAACTTCCGGTTCCTACGGCAAGTAACCTAACCAGGGTTCTGAGACAGTGTGTCTGAGCAGGGGCGGGGCACCTCGCCCTTCTCCCACGGAGCAGCTTGGAATTTCCAGCTATTGACCTTGCAACCCACAGCCTCTGTGCTGCCAGAGTTCCCTGTGCAGCACAAACTCAAAGCAATCTATAAAACTCCAGCAGAACAGGACTCAACCATCCCGAGATTTGCACTGAGCATACGCAGATAACTAACCGACCTTCAAAGACAAAAATAGTGGATGATCTTTCGCCCATTCACTCCCCAATATATATCTGCATACCCATATGATAGTGACTAGAGGAGGGGCCTGAGAGAGGGGTCACCACCACCCCATGCTGGAGGCTTCTAATTGCACACACACTGACTGTGTAGCAAGAGACAGTGGAGAACAGCCTCATTTCTGCTCCGAAGTGCTGATTTTTGTCTATGCATTGATATTACTTCTGCTTTTGGTCCTTTTGATCATACATCTTTCATGGAGACAGGAGCTTTTCCTCCCTTCGTTACCTAAGAAGAGGGAGCAATCATGGCCATATATGCAAGCTATAAGCATATCCCATAATATTCCACCACTAAGACAAGACCTAACAACACCTCTTAAACATTACAGGCGATAAGGGAAGGCTATCTCTGGATCACATTCATCAGGAGACACTCAGTAATCAAAAAACCAACGTTTAAGTGTTCACTTAAACTTAATAAAAACATACTGATAATAACAATAATAATAACAAAATAATAATCAGGATGAATAAGAAATAACAAACCTTATCAAAACACGTCCAAAAACAGAAGGGAACAGCTGATGCAAATGAGCAAGAGACAGACAAAGGCTATATAGAGAAGGAAGAGCAGGTTCTGGATATGCCTGAGAGGGAATTCAGAAGAATGATATGGAAACAAATGCAAATGTTCTGAAAAGGGGTGGAGGAAAACAAGAAAGAAATAAGGAAAGTACTACAGGAGCAATCAAATAAGACTGATACAGCATTGGAAACAATTCAAAACCTGCAAAGAGATGTCCAGGTGATGAAATGTAAGATATCAGAAATGGACATTAGGTTGAAAGGGGAAAGGAGCAGATTAGAAGAGATGTAAGCCAGAACTAGCGAGCTGGAAGACAAAGCTCTCAATATTCCTAAGACAGAAGAGCAAGCAGAAAAAAAGGATAAAATAATCTGAAGAGAGTCTAAGATTCATGCTGGATAACATGAAGAGGAATAATGTAAGAATTATTGGCATTCTGGAACAAGAAGAATCAGAGAAGTCCACAGAGGAGATAGTAGAAGAGCTTCTGGAAGAAAATTTCCCTAACATCTTAAAAGATGAGAAGATAAACATTCACGAAGCCCCACATACCCCATGAAGGATAGACCCCAAAAGAAACTCTATAAGACATATAATAATCAAGTTCTCCAAAATCAAAGACAAGGAAAGAATACTAAAAGTGGCTAGGGAGAAGAGAAATATCACTTATAAAGGCACGCAAATTAGATTAAGCTCTGACTGTTCAGAATAAACCATGCAGGCAAGAAGGCAATGGGGAGACATATACAAAGCCCTGCAAGAAAAAAATTGTCAACCAAGAATCATCTATCCAGCAAACCTAGCAATCAAATAAGATGGAGTAATCAAAACTTTCGAGGACAAACATAACCTGAGAGATTTCATCAAAACCAACCCAGCACTTCAAAACATCCTAAAGGAGTTCTGTGGACTGAAAACAAACAAGAACAGACAACAAACAGAGATTGACAGACGTGGCAACACCACCTGAAACTCAGTCAACAGATAGCAGAGTCCAGAACAGAACAAGACCACCACAACTCAAAGAAGCTAGGAGAACAACTGAAGACCAAAAATATATCAATGTCAAAGAAAGTACAATAGCAAAAGAGTCCGAGGTAATGAGGATGCCAGGTAAATCATAGGATACAATGGAGTATCTTAGATGCAGAGAAAAGTTAGTAGACTACAAGGTAACCCTAAAGAAAGCTAATACTTCAGAGGATATCATAAAAATGAATTCCCAAGCACAACAAGTGAATACAGAAACTAAGAAAAAACTGACAAGAAATAACACAAAAAACACAGACACAACACAAGAAGGAATGCAGCACATAAGAACGACCAGCACCATCGAAAAAGTAACATAATAACAGCAATCAATTCATACCTATAGATAATTACATTGAATATCAATGTAATGAATGCACCAGTGAAGAGACATAGTGGCAGAATGGATAAGAAAACAAGACCCATCAATATTCTGCCTGCAAGAGACACACCTTACACACAAAGACAAAAACAGACTAAAAGTTAAAGGATGGGAAAAAAATTTAGCAAGCTAACAGCAACAATAAACAAGCAGGGGTGGCAATAGTAATCTCCGACAAAGTAAACTTCAAGATACAAACCAGCATAAGAGACAAAGAAGGACACTATCTCATGATCAAAGGGTCAATTGAGCAAGACGACATAACCATAATAAATATATATGCTCCCAATGAAAGAGCACCAAGATACATGAAGCAAACCTTACTGGAATTGAAGAAAGAAATAGATAAATCTACAATTATAGTGGGAGATTTTAACACACCACTCTCGAAAATGGACAGAACAACCAGAAAGAAACTAGACAAAGCTACAGAAAAAACTAAACAACACAATCAACCAACATGACCTCATAGATGTATACAGAACATTCAATCCAACAGCAGTACAATACACGTTGTACTTCAGTGTGCATGGAACATTTTCCAGAATTGACCATGTGTTAGGTCACAAAACAAGCCTCCATAAATTTACAAACATCAAAATTCTACAAAGCATCCTCTCAGACCACAATGCTATAAAGCTAGAAATCAGCAATAAGAAGACCAAAACAACAAAGTCGAACACTTGGAAACTGAACAACACCCTGCTGAAAAGCAACTGGGTAAAAGAAGATATTAAACGTGAATTCACAAAGTTCTTAGAAACAAACAAGAATGAAAACAAAATATACCAAAGTCTTTGTGACACGGCAAAAGAAGTTCTGAAAGGGCAATTTATTGCGATAAATGCGCACATCCAAAAAGAAGAAAGATCCAAAATCAACATATTAACACAGCATCTCCAACAATTAGAAGCAGACTAGCAGAGGGAACCTACAGTGACCAAAAGAAAGGATATAATAAAGATAAAAGCAGAAATAAACGAGATGAAAAACAAAAACTATAGAAAGAATCAACAGGACAAGAAGCTGCCTCTTTGAAAGGATTAATAAAATTGACAAATCATTGGCAAAACGAACTAAAAAAGAGGGAGAGGACACAAATAAATTGCTTTAGACACCAAATGGGTGAAGTCGCAACAAAACAAAATGAAATCAAAAGGATAATAACAGAATACTATAAAGAGCTGTACTCCAACAAATTCGAAAATTTAGATGAG